AAAAAAAAAACTCTAGGCCCCAATAACTTCACTGGTGAATTCTCCAAACATTTAAGGAAGGAATTATACAAATTCTACACAAACTCGTCCAGAAAACTGAAAAATGTGGCATACGTCCTGATTCATTTAATAAAGCCAGTGTTACCCCGATAACAAAAGCAGACAAATACTTTATAAGAAAAGAAAATTAAAGACCAATATCTTTCATGAACACAGATGCAAAAAAAACCTAAACAAAATTTTAGCAAATCAAATCTAATACTACGTCAAAAGGATAATATATTGTGTAATGGGATTTATCCCAGGAATACAAGATGTGTTTAACATTCAAAAATTCGATGTAATTCATCATATTAACAAATTAAAAAAGGAAACCATATGGTCATTACATAGATGCAGAAAAAGTATTTGACCAAATTGAACAGTAATTCCTAATAAAAACTCCCAGCGACTGATGAATAGAAGAGAACTTCCTCCATCTGATAAAGATCATCTACAAAAACCAAACAGTTAGCATACTTAACCGTGAAAGACTGCTATGCTCGAGAACAAAACAAAGCGTCTATTCTCACCACTTCCATTCAACATTGTACTAGAGATTCTAGCCAGGGCAATAAGACAAGATAAGGAATTAAAAGTTATTCAGATTAAAAAAGAAGAAATAAAACTGCTTTGTTTGCAGAAGACATGATATTATATGTAGAAAATCCCTTGGAATGTACAAAAAAACTACTAGAACCAATAAATGATCTTAGCAAGGTTGCAGGATACAAGATCAGCATACAAAAATCAATCGCATTTCTAGCTGAGTGTCATGGCTTACATGTGTAATCCCAGCACTTTGGGAGGCCGAGGTGGGAGGATCACTTGAGCCCAGGAGTTTGAGACCAGCCTGGGCAACACAGCAAGACCCCATCTCTACAAAAAATTTAAAAATTAGCAGGGCATGGTGGCACATGACTGTAATCCCAGCTACTTGGGATGCCGAGGCAGGAGGATCGCTTGAGCCCAGGAGTTTGAGATTGCAGTGAGCTACGATGACGCCACTGCACTCTGGCCTGGGCAACAGAGCGAGAACCTGTCTCAAATAAGAAAAAATTATCCAGGTGTGGTGGTGCATGCCTGTAGTCCCAGCTATTTGGGAGACTGAAGTGGGAGGATCCTTTGAGCCCAAGAGTTGAAGGCTGCAGTGAGCTATGATTGTGCCCCTGCATTCCGGCCTGGATAACAGAACAAGACCCCCAAGAAGAAAAGACCCCTAAAAGAAAAACAAAAAAAATAAAAAGACACCAATTGCATTTCTATGTATTAGGAACAATCATAAATTAAAATTTAAGAAATGCCATTTACAATAGCATCAAAAATATGAAATATTTAGGAATAAATCTGAGAAAAGAAAGATATGTACATTCACAACTACATTGCTACATTGCTGAGAGAAATTAAAGAAGACCTAAATAAATGAAGAGACATACCATGTTCATGGGTCAGAAGACTGTGTATTAAGATGTCGATTCTTCCCAAATTGATCTATAGATTCACTACAATCCCAATCAAAATCCAGGCAGATCGTTTTTTGTAGAAATTGACAAACTGATTCTAAAATGTACTTGAAAATTAGGACCTACAATAGCCAA